CTGAAGTTCCAGTGAACTCTCTTTTCCATGTGGCCTATATTTAGGGTCACTATGGATAGATTTGTGGACGGGGGAGGTGGCAACCAACAGGAAGTGCTATGGAGTGGTTAGGAGGCTCCAAAGTCTGGTGCACTGTCTGGTTTCAAACCCCAGGGTTGCTGCATTTTGTTATTGTAATTGACAAGTAGGCTGCTCTGTTTCTCTGGGCCTCAGTTGACTCATTCATAGAATGGGGATAATATATCTAAGTCATACAGTTGTTGTAAGTAAGGATCAAATGAGATAATTCTTTTTTGTCTTTTGAGTTGGAGTCTCACTCCGTCGCTCAGGCTGGAATGCAGTAGCATGCTCACGGCCACCCCAGCGTCGACCTGCTGGGCTCAGGCGATCCTTCTGCCTCAGCCTTCCAAGTAAACTGAATTACAGGCGCGTGCTACTGTACACTAGTTTTTTATTTGATTGTAAAGACAAGGTATTGCCAAGTTGCCCAGGCTGGTCTCGAACCCACAGTCTCAGGCAATCCACTCGCCTCGGCCTCTCAAAGTGCTAGGGTTACAGGTTGAGCCACTGAGCCCGTCCGAGGTAATTCTTATAACATACTTAGAACAAATGTTTGGCATTGTGTAAGCTCCCAATGAATGTTGACTATTATTGCTAGTGTTATCAGCAATAATATTACAGTGATCAATGGCAAAAGGGATCCTTGGGTAGATGGGTTTGATGCATAGATGGCTCACTTAAGCTCAAGTCATACGGACTTTATATGGAAAGGAATTTGGTTGGTTTAGGAAACCAAGTTGGCTCTCTGAAGTGTAGTCTCCTTGAATGCTGACCTCTTCGGTAGTCAGGACTTGAGGCTTCATAGTCAAATGGTGAAAGGGCTCCACATAGATGCCCTCCCAGGCAGACAAGTTCCTCTTCTGGAAGCAGAGGTTTTCACTGAAGATAAAAAATACAGAAACCATTTGTCTTTGTCAGTGTAGGCGGCTGTAACAGAATACCACAGACTTGGTGGCTTACACAACAAACATTTGTTTTTCACAGTCCTGGAGGCTGGGAAGGCCAAGAAGAAGGTGCTGGCAGATCTGGTGTCTGTTGAGGAAACTCTTCCTGGTTTCAGATGGCTGTGTTCTCATATGGCTTTAGACTTGTACAGGCACTTCTCCCATTCAAGGGGACTCTTCCTTCATGACCTCATGTAACCCTCATTAACTCCCAAAGGCCTCACCTTCTATTTATTTATTTATTTTTTTGAGTTGGAGCCTCACTTCTGTCGCCCAGGCTGGAGGGCACTGGCACACTCACAGCCACCCCAACGTCGACCTCTGGCGATCCTTTTGCCTCTGCCTTCCAAGTAGCCAGAACTACAGGTATGCGCTACCACACCTGGCTAATGTTTTTATTGTAGAGATGAGGTCTCACCGAGTTGCCCAGGCTGGCCTTGAACCTGTGGGCTCAGGCAATCCACTTGCCTCGGCCTCCCAAAGTGCTGGGATTACAGGCTGAGCCACCAAACCTGGCCGGTCTCACCTTCTAATATCATTCTTTGGGAGTGATATTCAACATGTGAATTTGGGGGGACACACCAACATGTAGCCCATTTAGCTGACTCCAGCTTCCTAGAAATTAACCCCTTTTAGGAGGGTTGCTTGGGGCAAGGCCCCTTTGAGGGCTTTCTTCTGAGTTTTGTGTGTCTAAGAGTTTTGGGTGCATTTTCTAACTTTTAAGGGTTGGGGGGTCATTTTGTAGCATTTGCCCCTGGATCTGGGTAGAGGCCAACATCATAGCCTCTTGGTCCTGTTCCTCACCTTCAAGAAACCCTTCCTTCTTCCCAGTCTCTGGTCAGAGCTTGGCTCTTATGCTTCCTTCTCATTGATGGTAAAGGTGGTTCTTTCATGAATCTTGGATTCACACCATGCTCCTGCTCTGGGGTTTGGGGGTTTGTTCTGGGGAGCTGGGATGGGTTGTGCATCTTGGTGCCTCAATTCACAAGTACAGATTGTGAGATGGGCAAGAAACCTAGCTCACCCTCTGGGGTGAGATCAGGAGAAATAACCAGGGAATTAAGGGGAACTATTAACCCTTTCTGTCCTTGATGTCTCCATGTTTGATAGTTTTCAATGCAGTCACTGTTTAATTAACTGACCAATTGACAACATTGTGGTCTAAATTTTTTCTTTTTCTTTCCCTCCCTCCTTTCCTTCCTTCCACTCTGTCACCTGGGCTGGAGTGCAGTGACACAATCACAACTCACCACAGCCTGAACCTCCAGGGCTCAGGTGATTCTTCTGCTTCAGCCTCCCAAGTAGCTGAGACTACAGGTGTATGCAATCATGCCTGGCTAATTTTTATATATTTTTTGTAGATATAAGGGCTCACTGTGTTCCCTAGGCTGGTCTAGAACTCTTGGACTCAAGCAATCCTCTTGCCTTGGCCTCCCAAAGGGCTGGGATTATAGACGTGAGCTGGGATTAGTCACTGCACACGGCCTCATTTTCTTGATCAGGACTTCAGGATGTAAATTAAACAAGAAAATGTGAGCTGGGCTCTGTGGCTCAGCCTGTAATCCCGCACTTTGGGAGGCTGAGGTGAGTGGATTGCCTGAGCCCACGGATCCGAGACCCGCCTGGGCAACTTGTCGAGACCTCATCTCTACAATAAATTTAAAAAATTAGCCGGGTGTGGTAGCGCGCACCA